ATAGCACTCTGTGAACAGCCAGCTTCTTTGGCAATGAATGTTTGTGGGTTACCCTCCTTGTGAAGGGTGTCAATGATTGTCTTCTGGACAACTGTCTGATCAGCAGTCTTCCCCATGATTGTGTAGCTTAGTGAACCAAACTGAGAGACCATTTTGAAGGCTCAGGAAACCTTTGCAGGTGTTTTGAGTTGATTAGCTGATTGGCATGTCACCATATTCTAATTTGTTGAGATAGTGAATTGGTGGGTTTTTGTTAAATGTGAGCCAAAATCATCACAATTAAAAGAACCAAAGACTTAAACTACTTCAGTCTGTGTGCATTGAATTTATTTAATACACGAGTTTCACAATTTGAGTTGAATTATAAATAATAAATGAACTTTTCCACGACATTCTAATTTATTGAGATGCACCTGTATTCTAGTTTTTGTTTTCTTCTTATTATTAGCTATTTATATGTGTAAGTAAAATTTTAAACATGTATAATATTTGCATAACAATATTTATATTTATTGTAGTATTTATATTTATATATTTTTTGTTTTAATATATGTTTTTATTTGTTACAAAAGGTAGAAATTACAAAGCTAATGTAACTACCTGAATTCATCATAATTGCAATTTAAAAAAAATATTTCAAATATTACACTGATTAATGACTATGAACCCATTCAAAATGATTCTCAAATTTTTCTTGCATTTTCGACATTCTCATTTATGTTAGCAAGCTAGATAATGTAATATTTAAATCACAAATTTCAACAACAGTTTAGCAAAAACAAATGGCAAGACAAATGCATGTACAACATCAGCGAATGCAAGATTTAGTAAAATCAGCACTGGCCTGAAACTTCACCACATTATTGAGTGCTTCTTCAACATTTTTGTACCTGATATGAATTGCGAGCCTAACCAAGTATTTTATTTTTTTTACAGCAACCATAGAGAACTCTCAGGATGCTTATGAGAAAGCATTAGAAATAAGCAAGACAGAGATGCAGCCCACACACCCCATACGTCTGGGTCTGGCCCTCAACTTTTCCGTCTTTTTCTACGAGATCCTTAACTCTCCAGAAAAGGCCTGCGCCCTGGCTAAACAGGTACTTTTTAAATGACCATGCTTGCAGTATATCTTGAATTTCATGATATATAAACTTTACATTTTTTACGAATGTGTTTTTGTACAAATTTAGGCATTTGATGAGGCCATAGCAGAGCTTGACACGCTGAATGAAGAGTCTTACAAAGACAGCACTCTTATCATGCAGCTACTGAGAGACAACCTCACAGTAAGTAACGGCAGAGAAATTTATCTTTCTCACAGGTGATTCGATTTTTGAGGGCAAAGATGACCAGTTATGGTTTGATATAGTGGTGTGATGTACTGTCAAAACAGAGAGATGCAATTTAAGAGATCAGTCAAGGAGAAAATGGCCATTGTTTTCAGTGTTGTTATCATTAACAAACTATTAGAAACATTTTTGTTAATTTAAACATAGCTTAGATGAAAAGCTAACTAAAATAATAACATTGCCAACAGAAATAAAAATATTTAGAAATGTGATTAAAGGTAAACATTAAATTTATAATGAAAACTGAAAATCTAAAAAGTTTGGCTAGTTGAAAATATTAATAAAAACTATAATAGTGTATAATTAACACTAAAATAATACTGAATGTGTTCTGACCATGTCATATTCTCCTTTTCCACCAGTTATGGACATCTGACAATGCACCAGATGAGGGAGAAGGAGGCGAGGGAGGAGAGAACTAGACCGTGCGCTCCTTCAACAAAGAAAATGACCTTTTTACACATCGCCATTCCTTATCACTCCATGCCAGAATTCCTCCAGTAAAGATCAAACCCATGATTAATGAAGAGCTGTTCATGAAAAAAAATAAAATCATTTAGTCTTTTCACAGTGCAGCTTTTGGACAAGAAAAGAAAGATATTTGGGGAGAAACCCTGTTCCTTAGTTTGTTTGTCTTGGCCTTCCATAATGTGCAGTTTCTGCTGTAGAAAAGTATGACTAGTGTCATTTTATACAAACATAATCTTAAAGTAATAGTTAATGGAAAATAAATGAATAAATAAATTAAAAGTAAGGACATGCATTTCATCACAGGTAAGTCTGAGACTAAAAAGTAATTGCAGGGATATTAAAAGCATTTAGATAACCATATACACCTACTGTATCTTGTACTTCAACACTCTTACCTGTTTCACCTCAGCACTACCACGGGTTGTGCACTTCCACTGAAACCAGTGGTCAGTCACGCTTTAGATAGTTCAATATGGAAATTTAAAAAAGATACTTGTTGAAATGGCGTATGTTTCAAGCTGCATTTCAGATTTTACTTGGAAATATTAGCATCTGCAGTGATATGTAGTATCTGACGGTCCTCAGTTTATAAACGGTTTAATAATACATTTACTGTTTTTCCACTTGATTTTGGCCTGTTTAGTGTTCCCTTTGCTTTTATTTTATGGAAATCGAAATCATCCATTGAAATTTAAACCATTTGTAAGACGACTTGGGGCATATTCGATTTGATTTGTTTAGTAATGGGGTGTTAAAAGTGAAACTGTTTGGTTAGCAGTACCCCACTAGCTTGCAGACCAATTCTGACACAATCTGTGGGACAGTTTGGTAATATGGTTTTGATGGTCACGTATGAACGACCCACTCTAGAAATGAGTTTCACATAAGGCATGTTATGAATGATAGAAACCAGGAATGAGTATCTTTCTGATTCTGACTGCTAGTGGTGAATTTGTGTTGGTGGCAAATAACATTGCCTGTGTATGTCCAGAACACTGGAATGGGAATCAATTGACCATATGCACGGAGCGCTATTTAGAACTTCCGGATAAAGATAAGATAGCTCGTAATCTTTCAGTGAAGCTCATTTTATATGTGCTATATATAGGTAGAGACTCTCACGGAAACCTCTCCTGCCTCATTCTTATCAGAAACTGAGAAACAAAATAACTGCAACCCCGTAAATAATGATAGTGGAATTAACATACAGTTTCATGGTATTAAAGAACATATAATTTTATATGCAGAGTCTGGTAATCCCAGGAAAGTACCCAGACACCTAACTGTACATTTAAATGCTGACAAATAAACACTATGGTAACTGTTTAGGCAGTTAGGCTAATCTCTTAAACAACATCGTAATGGTGTTCTCGATAATCAATATCTTTACCTTCATAGCCATGAACACATTTTTAGAATCCTATACGATTTTAAAGCCTTTATTATTTCTCAACTCTGTGCAGTAAAATTCACTTTATTAAAGGTTCACTTTTCATTCATGAAGACGACATGAAGAAATGTGCCAAAAACGTGTCTCTTGGACGAAAAATAAAGACTTTTAAAGATGAAGATGAAAATGAAATGACCATTATTACCAGGAGATGGCAGCAGAGGATCACTCATTGGCTGCAGCTGCCATTTCAACTCCCTAGCTTTTTTCACGTCTTGCTTTTTGATTTATTATAAAATAAATATTATAACATATACTTTATCGCACTGAAGTATAAAGTATAGCAAGTGCAGGAAGTCACAAAGTCACTTGTCATTTAAAAAAACAAATAAGGCCAGGCAACAGCCTATAATGCTAAATTATTTAAATACCTATATAGTTAAATACAAATTAAATAAGCTGGTATAACAATTAAATAAAGCATTCAATATTTTAAAATGTTTAGATTTAATTTAATAACTACATCGTTTAAGTTTTATCCAACACAGACTTGTTGCTGCTGTAGTTTTGTTAGTCTGAATGACTTAATGCACAGCTCTATTTTGACATCGGCTCGTCAGATGATTCGTTCCGTTGCCACTCAATCATAGCAATGACTCCCGGCATGATTTAATGGATTCACTCGCATAAATTTAACATTCGCGGTTGCCATTCCTGAAACGTTATGCGTGGACGTTTGGTACTCTTAGACAAACAAAACTTTTCTTCAAATTGTGAATGGATTATGTAGAGAAACCGAGCAAACGGCGCTCCCCTTACGGCACAGTACAGGTGACCGGAAATGACTGAGCTGGCTTATCTAAAACCAGGAAGTAATCGTGCATATGGTCAATTGCCAT